TAGAACCCCCACTCAGTGACTTATTCCCCAATGGCTACCACACCCCGGTTGGGCCAGAACTGAAACCAGGTTCGAGGAATTGGATCCAGGCTTCCAGCATGAGTAGGAGAGACTCAACTCCTCAAGTAATCTCCACTGCCTTCCATATCTGCATACAGAAAGCTACAGGTGCGAGCCAGAACCAGATAAATTATATAGGTATGCTGATGAGAGATAAAGGCATTTTAACCAGTGTCTGAATTGGTATCTTAACCACGAGGATAAAACTCATCCCTAAAGCACTTTTTTCCCCCCGTAGCTAAAATGCATTCTATGTTCTCTACTTTCCTACTTCCTTTTTTTTAATCATTAAGATAACCTCTTTATCTTTTGCAACTAATTCACTGTACAATCACATGCATTAGGCTATTTTATTATTAATACCACTACAACATCACAGAACCTGAGCATGTATAAAGGGTCAGAAAGAGGAGCCTATTGAGTCAGATATCTGAACTCAGGGCCCTGTTCTATCATCTGACTACTATCATGTAACTGGAAAAATCACCTCTCCTGTCTGTATCACAGCTCCTCTTCCCTCTTTACTCAACCATAGTAAAGGCAAATCACCATTTTTACATATTGTCGTCATTCTTATCTAAATAGGCTTGTGGAGGCAGCCAAGTAAGCAGTAAAAGCACAGACTTTAGGGTAAAACAGGCATAGCTACAATGCATTAACGGTTGAAGAAATCTTTGTCAGTTAACTTCTCTGAGCCATTTTTCTCACACACAGAGATATTGATCATTTCCTCTTGGATCAGTGTAAAACAAAGAGGAGATAAGAAGCATAAAAACATCTGTAGATTTTTAAATTGCCAACTAAATCATTATTATTCTTGTTTGGACGGGTTTAAGAATGGCATAGAATAATGGTTCTCAAAGTGCTTTCTATTCAACATTATGCCTTTGAGAAATATTGACAACTGAGCAAGAGCTTATTAAAGGCTCTGAAGAGGGGTGTGCTCTGGTGCAACAGGTCAAGTCACTTAGGGTGTCACTTATCAAAATGTCAGTTCAAGTCCCAGCTATCCTATTTTGAAAATATGTATCTATCCTTTCCTCTCTCCCTTCCTCTCCTCACATGGACAAAAACAAAAAAGTAAACATTTAAAAAGAAAGAAAGAAAACTAAATGCTCTGAAATGTCCTGCTGTGGCAAGATCAGTTGGCCATCATTTTAACTTAACATTTTCCTAACTTATCTGCACATGGAAAATACTTTAACATCTTGTGGAATATCCAGCATGACAAAAGTAGACAAACTGCCCAGCCAACATGTCTTGTTTGCATGTTTCAGACAGAGACAATACCCAAATAAAACCCCAAACAGTAAAAATAGCAACATATTTTCCACTCTAAATCAACTTACCTACTTTTATACTGGGTATATTTTCTAGAAAAATAACTACAAAGGGGGATGCATTGTAGCACAGCAAGTTATGCTACCAAATGCAGTGCCAGCATCCCACAAGGTTGCTGTTTCTTGTCTGGGTTGCTCCACCTCTGATTCAGCTCCTTGTTAATGCAGGAAAGCTGTGGAAGATAACCCAAGCAACTGGGCCTCAGTCATCCATGTGGGAGCCCTAGATGGAATTTCAAGCTTTGGGTTTCATTCCAGCCCAGCCCTAGCCATTGTAGCCATTTGATGAGTAAACCAAAAGATTAAATCACCTTCTCTTTCTCTCTCTCTCTCTCTGTAAGTCTGCCACACCAAATAAACATATAATTACGTATATTGCCACCAAGAAAAGCCCAGCTAATGAGGCACATGTATATGCAGAACAACTTATAAGATTAACATTTGGATATAATTGATTGTAAATATGAGGTCTAAAAAACGTGTCTCTTGGTCATTTATGATTACCACTAGCTGAACTGCACTGTCAGCAATTTCAGGAATCATATGAGGAAAAAGAAGATATTTCTCATTCATAGGCAGAGCCCCTCTGAAGACCTAATTGTTCTTTTGACCTAGTAGCAAGAGTTTGCTTCATTATTTCCAGCTTCTCCTGTGGCTTTAAGATACCATTAATTTCCCATTGGTAAATTTTCATTAAAATGAACATGTATCATTGCTATAAGGCTGTTGCATTTGTAATACATGTATAAATATATGTAAATCTTCCGATCGTACTTCAAATTACTGTTTGTGAACAAGCAAGCCCTTTTGATGCTTTTTCAACATATTTAGTTTTTTAATTGGACCACCCCCTAAAATAACTTGGAGTCTATGGAAATACAATGAACAATTACCAACTTAGCAAAAAAAAAAAAATCTATTTTATTGATCCAGAAAGTAGCATTTTAAAGCATAAATAATGACCTCTGAATTTTGAACTACTCAGCACCCTGGTATTTCTGCAACATTCGTGTACCATCACAAAAAGAAAAACTGGAGCAGGTGGAGGGACATGGCTAGCTTAGGAACTCACACCTGTGTTATCAACAGTTTTACATGTGTTGCATTTCCTCAGCTTATTATCAAAGGTCTTTATACTACCCAAAGTTGCATTTGAATGCTCAGCTCTCAGAGAAACTGGAACACACTAGAATACACCTGAGTATTGAGGTCAACAAGTTTTCTTAACCCTTTAAAATTCCCAACACTAAGCTAAAGTGCTTTTAGAATATGTGTTGAAAAGAAAAAAAAAAAATAGAACTTGTTTCCACCAGGTTATGATGGCATCTTCCAAATATCTTAAGTAGAATCCAAAGACAAATTAATAAGATGATCATTCACAACTATATACTATGAGCACATGATTCAGAAAATATTGACAAATATCTGATAACATTTACAACAATAATACTTCCTCCCAGGTGATTACACAATATCAGAGTAACTTGTAATCTTCTATGGAAATACTAGAGAAACGCTTAACAAACAAGACCTGCATGTGAGCACAGAGTCTCCAAGGACTGGGTCACTAAACGCACTTGTGGGAGCAGCCTGCAGCTTTCTTTCTGCAATCAACCTTGTTACTCCATCCATTCACTCAATTCCTTTTCTCCATGGCCAGTTGACCCAGTAGTTGGAATCTCACTACAAAACTTTAAAGTTTCTTTATCTTGCCTAATTCTTTGTTACTTGTTAAAAAGTATTTCCTGAGAAAATTAAGCATTATTTTTCAATTATGAAACTACTGTTTTGGAAAGCCTAATAAATGCAACTATAACTAACTAACGTTCCTGAATATTCACAAGGTGCCAATTCATAGGAAATGTGAAGGGTTTTCAGTTAATAGAACTGAGAAGTATTTGCGATATTCACATAAATCTAGAAACTTTCCTGTTGATGAAAAGTAAGTGATTTCAAATCTTGCTTAAAGTTTCCAAAAGTGAACAGATGGAATGTTAAGCTATTTTTATTACATTATTGATTAAAAATATTAATCACATGCCTTGTAGACACATAGTGCTATCATTAGATAATTCAAGCATTTAAGTTCTTCATCATATTTGAAAAGCAACAAGCTTTAAATCTTCCTTTAGCCATTCATGTGAAATAGAGCTACCACAAACAGCTGATATTCTAAAAAATCCCCTTTGTGTCCATCATATGGAGGTCTCCATCACCAAGTTGTCTGACTACACATCATATGTCACTTTTGCAGACAGCATCTGTTTGGGAAAATAAAGTTACAATCCCAAATGCTGCTGTTAATGACAATGCTAAAACTGCTTTTATAAAGCGTTTTTTTCCCAGGAAACATGGTGAAATGACAAGTCACACTTCTGAGTTGAAAACATTGCTATGCCCCATAAACAAAAATAAGTTTTTGGCTCTGTTCCACAAACTCTCCACATGGGATGCTTTGGCTTTCAAAACGATTTATAGTGCCTTTTGCAAAAACAAGAAATAACAATAGCAAATGAAATAAAAACAATCAGGCATATAGTAGACCATAGTCCTAATCAGCATACTTTCTAGGAAGTTCCTCATTTCTGCTTAGACTCCATATTTACTTAGCATTTCAAAGTGAACTAACCTCCAGATGTTAGCATCTATGTATATTCATACTCTTTTTCTAGACGTAAAATACAGCCACAAAAAGCTTCTAAAGCAAACCAAAGTCTAAAGAACATATTCTTTCATATACTAGTTCATTATATGCCTATCTCTAAGCAGTGACTGCCCAGGTGATGGTTTCTTTCTGTCCAACGAGATTAGCCTGCAATCCGGTTTGTGAGTTCAAGGTATATTTTGTAAAAGGACTTGGTAGATCAGATGACAGCTTCAAAGCAGTCAGTGAAGATGTGAAGTGTGATTAAAGTTCACATGACAGGGGTTCTTAGTTACAGGAGAAATTGCACGTGAAGATACTCTGAAGATAATCAAAGGTGCACTGTAAAAGTTAAGCCAGGATCCCATGTAAAGTGTACTTCCTCATGACTGGAGATGCCATGTACATGCATAGCCCATATCACTTGAACTCAGGCATACAGGACTTGAAGTGCAAGACTTCTGTGGCAGTAACCATAAAAGCTAGCCCTTCTAAGCACTGAGATCCCCAGTCTAACCAGAATTAGCAATTTTCTCCAGGAAACAAAAGAAAGCGTCCAAACTGCAACAAATTCCTCAAATACAACATGACAAAATGAGAGTTTTGCGGGGAGGGGAGAGAGGTGGCAGAGATTTCTCCAATTCACTAAAAATGGGGAGGGGGGCTTGTAACATATAAAGGAGGGAAGCTTCTGAGACAGAGTGGGAAGACTGAAAGGATGGGGCGATCAGAGCTACTCTGCTGCCCTTCCCTTATTTCTCGCTTCCCTCCCACCCTAGTCTGAGAGCTCACATTTTAAAAAATGCAAGCCCCAGTTTTTTTTTTAATTAAGCCCCCAAAAAGGGTAAAGGGGGTGGAACTAAGAGTGTGAGCAATGTTACTTCCACAGCAACCCCGAACGATTTTCATGCAAAAGCAAAGCACACCCCCCCTTTCCCTCAGCCCTGATACAGTACCTCCAGATTTGCCCGAGCTGCAGGATGTGGATGAGTGACTGCAGGAGCCAGATGCAGAAGGAGCAGGACGCAGACCTATGTTTGCCGCTGGCCCGGGTGGCCCCGCTGCTGTTGCTGCCGCTGTTGGTGGCGGTGATGTTGCTCTTGCTGGCGTTGGAGGCTTGCCTTTGCGGCGTGGAAGGACGAGCCTCGCCTTCCCCAGCTGCAGACCCACCACTGACCAACGTCTTGCATTCTGCTCCAGGCTGCTGGCAACTGGAGGAAGCTGTGGCCGTGGCGCTGTCCTCGGTGCTGAAATCGTGCACAAACCAACGGAAGCTAAACACTTGCACCGACAGCGAGCCGAGCACCACGAAGAAGAGCGTGAGCCCGAACCACCAGCGCTGGCCGCGCAGGTAGTAGTCCACGGCGAGCCAGATGTCCGTGCCCACATCCGCGAAGTACACGGCCACGGCGGCCAGGATCCAGAGGCAGTCCCACAGCGAGTAGCGCCGCTGCTCTCTGCCCAGGCGCAGGCACAGCGCCGCCGAGCCCGCCCCGCCGCCGCCCGGGCCGCCAGCGCCGCCGCCCGAGCTTCCCGAGCCGCCGCTCCCGGCGCAGCAGCAGCAGCAGCGCGAGCAGCCGCCGCCGTCCGGGCAGCAGCCGCCGCCGGCCGCCTCCTCGTCCTCGGCTCCGGACCCCGACGGCAAGCCCTGGGCCAAACCCTGCACCGAGCCCGAGTGGTCCGAGTTCTGCAGCGGGGTGAACGCCACGTCGCTGCTCTTCTTCATTTTCAGCCTCCCGTCTGACTTAGCGGCCATGATGCCTCCACACCGGAGGAGAGCCCTCCTTTATCTGACACCTTTCCCCCGCTGTCTCCTCCTCCCGCCACCTCCTCGCCTCGCCCAGGCTTCCCTCCCTGGCGGCGCGCGCGGCTCTCCCCTCCCCGCCTCCTGCTCCTGCGCCGGCTCGCCCGCCGTCCGCCGCCCGCCGGGCTGGGCGCTGGGCCGGGCTAGCGGCGCGCCCGGGGCCAGGAGGAGCGCCGCCTGGCTGCCTGCGCCGTGCCAAGCTGCCCGCGGCGCCCCGCGCGCGCCCCTGCCCGCCGCCCGCGCTCCTCGCCGGCCCGGCCCCGCCGCAGCCGTCCGAGCCGCCGTGGCCGCCAGCAGCAGGAGCAGCAGCGGCCGCCGTGGCGCTCCTCGGACCTGCACATTCCTCGCCTCCCCTCACGCGCGCTGCTCCCTCCTCCCGCTTCCTCTCCTCCACCAGCTGACTCCGAGGGAGAGGATGACCTCATCCCTTCTCTTCCAGCTGCCGCCGCTCCCACTCCGGCTCGGGAGGGGCGACGGAGGAGGAGGAGGGCCCCGGAGGAGGGGCTGGGACGGAGGGGGAGCAGCGGGTGGGGAGGGCAAACCTGGCCGGGCCCCGTGCGCCCAGAGGAGCGGCTGAGAAGGAAAGAAGGTGGCTGTGGAGGACCCCGCTTCCTGGGTTTCGGGGAACGCGGGGCGGGTTGGACCGACACTGTGGGGCGTGTGCGCGCCGAGAGGAGGGGTCCCCGCGTTCAGCCCAGTGGAGCATGAAGAAGAGGGGGCCCTGGCGTGCTTGGAGGTTGCGAGAGCCGTGGAGGAGCAGGCTTCTTTGTACTCTGCTCGCATCCCTGGTGTCCGGACAAGGGCGGGGATGGCGGAGGGTCAGGAGAACCGGCTTAAGCCGCACGACGGCCCCAACTGCTGGTAATGCAGGTGGGCGTGACCGTCTTCAGGGAGCAAAGAAAGAAAGGGGCATGCAGGTCCCGGGACGTGGAACCGGGGCCCATGGCGGCAGCGGAGAGTGGGTGAGGCTGTCCGGAGCCCGTACCCTAGGGAGGACAGGCAGCTGAAAGGCTCCGGAGTTCGTCCACGGGTAGGGGCACCAGGCTCCGGGAGCTGGGGGAGACCCTCCGCGGCTCAGGCCCATGCTGCCCGAGCCCGTGCCCTCACACACTCTGGCCGACGTGGGCAATGGAGAGCCAGGGATAGAGGTGGGCGGGGCGGCGACTGTGGGCAGGTGGGGAGCGCGGCGCCCCTGGCAGCTTCGCAGAGCAGCTGGGCGCGGCCCGCAGTCGCGGGAAAGCGAGAACCTGCTGGTGAGTGGGGAGTAGTGGAGCCTGGAGCTGGCGCCACCCTCCACTACTCTAAAACTAGAATTACCTTCTCTTAAAGCTATAGGGGCTGCAGACTGTGGTCCCACCATTCTGAAAATGAATCCAGGACAGGAAAATTGGGGTGGCTGACCAATGTAAACCTTGGAAGTACGTAAAACGTGTTGCGATTATAGAAATTTCTTAAACACGATAAAATATGAATTTCTTTTTCAAGAGGAAAACAGGCTTGGTTTGTTTCACCTAACTTTTCAAACGGAAGAGACAGTGTAATTCCTGAATTATATTGCAACTCCCATATTTTAAGAGCGGAGGGAACTAATGCAGGCACATTTTACTCTATCACTAAGGACAGCAGGTGAGGCGGGGGGTGTCTTCTAAGTCTGGAAACAAAGCATTCTCAAGTCCACCGCCTCTACCCCCAGCACCTTCTGAAGCAGGTGAGGCGAGCCCCAACTAGTGCCCAGCCTTTTTGCACTAGAAGCTATGAAACAGCAAAACAAGGTCTCTGCTTGTGGAAACAGATTTGGAACATGCCCTTTTATTCTCAGGAACAGGAACAGAGTGCCTTGCTCCACTTGTGCCTTTGACACTTTGATAGGAGGATGTTAGGCCACCGTTCTCAGTCACAATGTCTTTTAAAAGTCTAACACTTCCAGGCATAGATAAGAACAAGTGGTAGCTGAAGTGTGGCAATGTCATTCCCTAGAATGTAGCCAAAAGACTGGATTTTAAACTCGCTTTGAAAGTGCCCCCCCCCCAATGGAGAAGAAAAAGCTTTTTTTTTTTTTTTTTTTTTTTTTTTTGGCAGGGGGAGACACCCTGGTTGGTTCACCAGAGTCCAAATCTAAGATTCCATCTCCAGGTGCTGCCTCTGATCGCTGTCCCAAACTATCAGAGAGAGGCTCCATCTCTTAGGTAACTGGGTCTCCAGGGACAGGGTGTACTCTAGGTCAAATGCAATGCTTTAAATTACACTGAGCCAGGAAAGGCACCTGCACCTGCGCAGGCGGCTATCTGTGACATAAACATTCTGTGAATGAATGGGTGAATTTATAGAAAGAACATTCCACTATAGAAACAATGCTACATGTGATGTTAATGAATGTTCCCAAGGAGGTTTAGGAATTGTGAGACTTTTTCCTCTTAGGTTCCAAAAGAAATAACTAACAATGGTTTCCTCATTAATAGATTTATTCAAAAACTGTTTAGAGTCTTCGAAGTTTATCTCTGAACCTTCTTCTAGAGAAATTATGGGCTATCCAATTGAGAGGTTACAGAAATAGGAGGAGCTTTCACATCCATGTTCTTCTAATTAGTGGTCCCATGACCTGGCAATTTACTTAATACACAGGATTAATATGAGGATTAGGTGAGATCGTGGTTATTACTAGGCTTTGTCTGCAAAATTGTTCTCAGGAGTCTCTGATCCCATCAATCTAGCAATAGCGTCTCAAGATGTGGATTTGGATATTGCTGTTCTGTCATCTCACACCTGTCAAGGCAGGTAGAGATAACTATTAAGCCTTTCACTCTGATTAATATTACTAAATGGTTAGCTCACTCCCTCAAGTACCTTGGACACTCATTTCAGCACCTCATACCCCACTTTGTGCACTTATTTTTGTTCAACAACACAAACACTGTACTCAACCACCAAAAGCAGCTCTCACCCACATCTTTATCTCTGTTTTCCCTCTTACTTGACAAAATCAGTCCTGGGTAAAGCTTTCTGTCTTCCAGGTTCAGACCTGAGCCTGTACAGTGGAACATGGTCATGACCATGCTGTCTGCACTCTGTTTTCAACCTGGACCATCAGTAGGATGTGGACTCCAAGGGTATTCTACAATCACACTCACCTTCCTCATTGCTTGGCATTTCTACTCTTATGTATTAAGCTTTTCTTATTTTCACTTCTCTAACTTTGAACATCTAAAAAACATTGAGCAAAATAAAACAACCCAAATCAAATGCACACCAGCTTCCAGTGCCTTCTCTCTCCACCTATCAGTGTCTGTGATCACCTGCTCAGCCTCCTGCTCCTGTGAGGCCAACTCACCTGGTCTGCATCAGCTTCCATCCCTCTCACTGCTCAACAGCATGATTGCACACTCCTTTCCACAACCTCTATTATGGAAATTTTCCTCCCGTATTGGATTCTCCAGATCAGCATTTAGATCTGCTGCTATGTATCTGCTGGCTGTAAAACAAAGCAAAACCATGGATCCTTTTGATTTAAGTTACTTTCTAGCCCCCACTGCCCTTCTCAGGAAGCTTTCACAGCCCAGTGCCTTCTCAGTGGCCTCACCTCACTTTCCTCACTTTCTTGGATTCTTGTTCTGCAGTCCTCACTTGAGCATACTCAGGTAAAACAAGTAAACAATTCATTGGAACACTTCCTACCAGGCTGCTGCATATCTACCTCCACTTGATTCTACCACTCAGCCCTCAGCTGCCTAATCCCCTCAGCAGTGTGTGATCTGGGAGATAGTCTCTCCTCAGTGAGGTCTGTTCTTCCCTTAGCTTCTTCTACACCACATACTGGCTGGCGTGGCTGAGGCGAGAGGTGGGGGAGGAGGGGAAGGAAGGGGAGGTAGATGGGGGTAATTATTCATCTAAAAGACTACCCTCTGCTAATCCAGGATTCTTAATTTTCCTCGTTTCCCCTACCTTTAAATAAGTTTGGACCTTAATACTTTGTAGTCTTACTCTCTTAATAACTTCATGAAATTGCATGTTTAAAATACTACCTATGAGGCAAGTATTTGGTCCAGAGGTTCAGTTACCACATGAGACTCTTGCATTGAATGTGCCTGGTTCATGTCCCAGCTACTCTGCTTCCAATCCAACTTCTTTCAGTCCAGGTTCAATAAACATATTTGGGGTAGTAGTGTTGGGTTGCAGCACCCATGCGGGAGACCTGCACTGAATGCCTGTTTCCTGGCTTTGACCTGGCTCAGCCTTAGTTGTTGTAGGCATTTAGTGACTGAATCAGAGGATGAGAGCTCTTTCCATGTCTCTCTGCCTTGCAAATAAGTCAATAAATTTAAAAATTATTTGGATAAACAAAAATCCAGTGCTCAGACAAGACACCATCCAAGGACACCAGAACACACTTCTCAGTATCTCTGTGTGGGTGACTAACAGGAATCTTAAATTAAAATATCCCAAACTGAATTCTGATCTGCTTATCCCACATCTATTCTTCTTTCCATGTTTCAGTTAATGCTGATTTTGCCCTTTTCGTTTCTCCAAACAGAAGGGATAAATCATATTTAGCCACTTCTTGCACTTAGAAATCATGTATAATATCCCATAAAATACTTAGAATTCTCTCTTCAAAAATATTGTTACAGGGACTTCACTGTAACACACCTGGTATGCCATTACCTGCAGTGCCAGCATCCCATATGATCCCTGTTTTGAATCCTGGCTGCTCCAATTCCTAGCAATGTCCTGAGAAAGCAGTGGAAGATGACCTATGTTCTTGGGCCCCTGTACCCACGTGGGAAACACAGGAAAAACTCATGGCTCCTGACTTCAGACTGGCCCATTTCCAACTGTTGAAGTCATCTGGGGAGTGAATCAAAGAATGGAAAATCAATCTCTCTCTCTCTCTCTCTGCGTGTGTGTGTACATGTGTGTGTCCCTGTTAATTCTGCCTTTCAAATAAATAAATCTTT